TCTCATGATATCCTTGAGGTTAAGATGGTTAAGTGTGGGCTGGATGGTGCAACCGTTGGATGAATTCATGGTTGGTGCCACAGGGCTGGGTCCTAGGCCCGGTGTTGTTCAATGTTTTTATAAATGACCTGGAGGAAGACATAGAGGGGATGCTTATCAAATTTGCAGATGACACAAAGCTAGGTGGGATTGCTAATTCTGAAGAAGACAGGATTCAAAATGATCTAGATAGGCTGGAGCAGTGGGCTGTGACAAATAAAATGAATTTCAGTAGAGATAAGTGCAAAGTTCTACACTTAGGTACAAAAAATCAAAGGCACAGATATAGAATGGGAGGGACTTGGCTTGACAGCAGCACATGTGAAAGGGATCTAGGTGTTCTGGTTGATCACAAACTAAACATGAGCCTGCAGTGCGATGTGGCTGTGAAGAAAGCTAATGCAATCTTAGGATGCATTAACAGACGCATTGTGTCCAGATCACGGGAGGTGGTAGTTCCATTCTATTCTGCTATGGTCAGGCCTCACCTGGAGTACTGTGTCCAGTTTTGGGCATCACATTTTAGGAAGGGTGTTGACAAGCTTGAGCGTGTCCATAAGAGGGCAACCAGGATGATGAGAGGGTTGGAATCAAAGTCTTATGAGGAAAGGCTGAAAGAGTTGGGTATGTTTAGCCTGGGAAAGAGAAGGCTTAGAGGGGACATGATTGCAGTCTTCAAGTATTTGAAGGGCTGTCATGTAGAAGATGGAGCAGATCTATTCTCTCTTGCTCTGGATTGCAAGACTAGATCTAATGGGTGGAAATTACAAGGAAGTTGTTACCGGCTAAATATCAGGAGAAACTTCCTAACTGTAAGAGTGGTTGAGCAGTGGAACAGTCTGCCTTGGGAGGTGGTGGATGCGCCTTCGCTGGACGTTTTCAAGTGGAGGCTGGACGACCATCTTTCGGGTATGTTGTAGGTATGTAGGGCTATCTTTCAGCTATGCTCCTGCAGAGTGCAGGGGGTTGGACTAGATGACCTGCAAGGTCCCTTCCAACTCTAACATTCTATGATTCTAAGTGGTTTAAGTTAAAGGGAGATCTTGACCCTTCCCTCAGTTTCCTGGGTTGAGCCAGCAGCAAAATATCATACTGTGACAGGGTGGGACAGCCATAGTTCTTCAGAAAAGAAAATCAATAAATAGGGCTTCTCAGTCAGAAAGGGAGAGAAAAATGGAGGGAAAATCTTGCCTTTGAGGGAGGGAAGTGGGTGAGGTCGTCATAACAGGGCTACATAGAGCATGTTACAGTAGTTCAACGTGTAAATTATGTTAGCATAAATCAGTGCAGCTAGGTCAACAGAGACTACATAAGGGACCAGCTTATAAACTGGATGTCACTGAAAGTAAGTACTCAACAGTACTGACTTGTTTATCCATTAATAAGGCTAGATCTAGGAACACCCCCAAGCTTTTATAGAACTTACTATGGAAAGCTTTATTTTTTTAAAAAAAGAATTTTATTAGTTTATGCACAGAGAAAGGGGAAAGACGGGAAAAAGGAAAGATACAGAAGCTTAACCCTATCTATACAGGGATCATTATCACCCTGTGCTATTCCAGGCACAATTCAAAATGCTGGTTCTTATCTTCAAGGCCCTAAGTAGCTTTGTACCAAGCTTTACAAAGGACCACCTCTTCCCATATTGTGCAGCCTGCCAGTTAAGATCTCTCTGTGCCTCTGTTTGCAGATATGAGGTGGGTGGCAACCAGAGACAGGGCTTTTTTCTTTGGTGCCTTATCATTGAAATGCCTTCCCCCTTGAAGCCTGCCTGGAACCTGCCCTACTGTTTTTGCCTGGCAACTAAAGATTCCTTTTATGTATGTACCTGAGGAGTTCCATCTTTTTAGTCTGCTTTTTATGGTCTACTTCCACCCTTGGGGCTGTTTTACCAATATCATTTTAGGGTGCTGAATGTTGTGTGCTCTTTTTATGTACCTGCCTTGTTTTATTAGCTCTTATGAAGTTTTTGACTGTTGTATTGCTTCTACTTTGTAAACTGCCTTGAGTAGGTCTCTGGAGAGAGGGAACATATACATTTTCCAAATAAAAAGGTTATCTGTAAATAAGAGAGATGCTCAAGGTATGTCTTATGAATATTTAACTTCTTAATATATAGCAGCCAACACCCAAAGAATCCCGTTTTGGGTTGTTCCTTAAAAGTTAATTATATTTGTTAAAGTTTGGAAATATTTCCCCATCTGTTGGTATTGTAATATGTTTTAGCTGTCCTGTCCATTTTGGCTGTATTAAGCATTCAAGGTGTAGGATTGTGGAGGAGGGAGTGTGTTTCTCTGGGAATACTTTGTGGGCATTTGGAATACAGTGACCTATTTGAAAATTCATTGCTTCACTGTTCATCATAGGGTTTTCAAAAAGCCTTCTCTTGTCTTAGACAGAAGAGAAAGAGGAAGAAGACCTATCAGGAGAACCTAAAGCATCACCCAATGCTGATACAACCATCTTATTTGTGAAAGGAGAAGGTAAAACACAGTGTAGTTCAACATCAACACAACACCCTTTCTGTTGACTCCTAAAATCAGTATAATTACAGATGAAACATTTTGCAAGTTTCAGTTATGCATGTCTATCTTATGCGATTCCTAATTTTTCCCTAGATTTTCCAGCAAACAACATTGTGAAGTTTTTAGTAGGCTTTACCAACAAGGGTACAGAAGACTTCATTGTGGAATCTCTAGATGCTTCGTTCCGGTACCCTCAGGACTACCAGTTTTTCATTCAGAATTTCACTGCTCTTCCACTGAACACAGTTGTTCCACCACAGAGACAAGCCACATTTGAATACTCTTTCATTCCTGCAGAGCCTATGGGTGGCCGGCCCTTTGGACTAGTCATCAACCTGAATTACAAAGACCAGAATGTGAGTTGTGATGCAGGGCCTGGTGATTTCAAGGGGAAGGTTACTTTTCATCAGTGTTAAGTGTGGCATTTGTTGATCATGCAAATGGTGCTCATCAGTGTGTCCATCTTGACTTGGCTACTATTCTGTGGGTCCCATTCTATAATTATATTTCTGGATAATCTAGAATTTGAAATAGTTGATTTAGGAGTAATGCCGTTATAGTTTAGGACCTGCATTTTAAATTTTATTTTGTTTCTATACTTTTCTCCCAGTAACATTATTCACACTGTGGATTTGAACTGGGTAGGGGGAGGTATAACTGTGCCTCAGTTATTTGTACCACTTTTAAAAGCCAGGTAGAAAGTGACTTGTTGTCCACTTGCCATGCTTCTTGTTTTGTTCAGATACTTTTTATATCTGGTCTTCTAATGTTGGGGTGTATCAGCTATGTCCCAGTAAAGCTTTGAAAGTGGGTGTTGATAGCCTGATGTCTGCACAGCATCTAGGCCCATTGTCCAGTAAACACTTACTGTTGCTCATTTTTGCAACATAAGGAATTGAGGAGCTGAAAGCAGGTAAAGAACACAGGTCATCCCTGAGTACCTACAGTATCATAAGTGCCATCTGCTGGGCAGACATCATTATTGCATTCAAGTGGTTAAAAATTAAGAGGGCCTTTTAGTAATCTAGCTATACTATTGTTACATTAAATCTTATCAAAAGATTTCACTGTTAGTGTGGGTTTTTTTAATTTCAGGGGAACTTTTTCCAAGATGCTGTTTTCAATCAAACTGTTACAATTATTGAAAAAGAAGATGGATTGGATGGTGAAACGTAAGATTAATTTTTTTCTTTAGCACTAGTAAGGATTGTTCTCAGTTTTAGCCATCAAAAGATTGGGAGGGGTGGAGGAAAGTGTTTTTCTCTCTGTTGGAAAGCTCTGTTGGATTACCTATGTAACAGCTTATGCAGACTCTGCATACTGCTGTGAACCTTAATACGGATGTGCATTTGGCTGTCTGTCCAGCGTTACCTAAATGGAACTGGTGTCCCATTATTCACCATCATAATCTGGCTCTAGCCATATGGGGATGAACTTTAGCAGTATTCATAATATTGTGGGCTAATGTTGGGACGTCCTTGTATATGTTAAGATGCTCCTTTTTAATCTGTTCACTGTTGAGGGATAACAGCTGTTTTCGTAGCTATCTGGAGTTAAACCAACTTAATAGACTTCTTTCTCTTTTAATAAGGATCTTTATGTATATGTTCCTTGCTGGACTTGGCCTTCTTGTGATTGTTGGTTTGCATCAGCTATTAGAATCTAGAAAGGTAAGTAAATGATTTTACAAAACCATTTTCCTTGACTAAAAGATTAAAAATTGCTAGCCCTGTTAGTTCATAGATGATTAGAAAGTGACAAGCAAAGCTGTTTGTGCCTCTCTTGCATCCTCAATGGAAAGGTCATACCATATTGCATGGGGGGGTCCTTAAGCCATGTAACTAATAAATCCTGTTCCTGTTCGTGTTAATGAATAGTGTCTGCATAGTGTGGCATTGTCTTTGCAACGGACAACTTCAGTGGAGTACAACTGCTAAAAACTAAATAACTAAGATAAGTGTAGAATTATGTTGTACTGTGTATTAATATATCAAGACTAAGCAAGTCTAATTGCAAGTATGAATTGAGTGACAGTCATTTAAAAATACAATCCTTCACAATGTGAGGAGGGTGAAATGCAGTTGTGCTATGGAAAATGTGTGGTGTTCCTGCACATCAAAATCTGCATACCATGCCTGTACCTGATCTTCAGACGTTAGTCAAGTATCTGGCACTGCTTAACCCAACACTACAAGTTCCACATTACACCTATAGGTTAAAAGAGACACATTCTAACTTGTGATAGGTCTCAGCATGACACTGAAAATATCTTTTAACCATTTTAGATTGTTCTTTGTGAATTTGAGCCGCTCAAGTTAACTACTGTTAAAATTATAAAATCTTTGGAGGTTCTGCTTTGCTTCCTTCCCTCCACCACCTGAGGCTTAAGGGCCTTCTTGGTCATGGTGCAGAAACTTTGGAACTCCCTCTCCAGGGAGATTGTCTGTCTACTTCTGTCATTGTATTCCTCCCTGCCTGTGTCTTTATGTTAGATTTTACTGATTGTTCTAAATATTTTATACATTTATATTTTAAATGCTTTTTTAATCTCAAATTTTTAAATGTTTGCTGCCTTGATCACTCTGAATTGAGTGGAAAGGCAGCACAGTAAAATGTTCCAGGCCATGATCTCATGTCCTTCTTGCATCTGGCCTGTGGAAAAGAATTCTGGAGAACGCAAAAGTTTCTGCTGTTTTGTGTTAACCTTGCTGATGGAGTTTGTTATTGCTCCACACTAGCTGTGACTTCTTGAAGCATTAAAAAAACCAAATGTGTTATAAATAAAACATACTGCTAGTTGAACAGCTTCAGTTGATTTCTGTAACTTTAAACAAATTGCTTTTGTTTAACAATTGGGGGGTGTTAATAGTTTAAAATCCTGGCAAGAGAAGCTCTTGCTATAAATTTGGAACAAGAAAGATGACAAAGACTTAAAGGGTACTGATGTTCTGAAACTACATTTCAGTTAATATAGTCTTGGGTTCATAGTTGGTTAGTGTTTTTAAATATATTAAATGAACATAATAGTTTTATTTCCCTTAGGTTTCCACATTACTTTGGTCATTTGTTGTGATAGTGCCATTTATAGAGTAGAAAATCTCATTCATTCTCCAGAGGAAATAACTTTCTTTCTAATACTTCCAGAGAAAAAGACCAGCTCAAAAAGTAGAGATGGGGACATCAAATCAGAATGATGTTGACATGAGTTGGATTCCTCAAGAAACTTTAAATCAAATCAGTAAGTATTAAGGCTTTTATAGCCTAGTAGTTTAACAAATAAAAACATCCTTGCATGTTCTCTGTATACCTGGAAAAGGGTGTGCTATGATAATGAATCTTCTTGATTTGCTTTCTAAAAAGATTGACCTTGTAACAACGAGTGTCTTTTGTTAAAGTGATTAAAGTTGGTGTCAAAACCACTTTCACATTCATGAGAAAGCACTTTTCAGAAAGAGTTCCACTTCTACTATTAGATTATGTAAAGCTGAGATCGCATAAGATTCCGAAGAACTTAATATTAAAATAGTTGAGTTTTCATACTACTTAAGACCATAGATCTTCAATCCCTTTGAGCCTGTAGGCACCTTTAGAATTTTGAGAGGGGAAGGTGAGCGCCACCCCTAAACGGCTGCCGCAGGAGGCAGAGCCAAACTGAGTACTCCTCTCTTAACACCTTCTGGGAAGACAGAAAGCCTGAGTGGGGGAATGGAACCACACACTGACTAAGGAAGGCCCAGATACTTACCAGTCCTCCTGATCCTCCAGTGGAAAACCCTTTCATTTGAATGAGGGCAGTCAGGGCAGCCAGTAACAAGCCCTGCCTTACAGTGGCCCACCTACTTTCCGAAAAGCTTGGTGAGTGCCAAGGAAAGCCCTGGCAGGTGCCATGGCACCCATGGGGCACCCAGTTGAGGAACCCTGACTTACTAATATTGTAATTTTGTTAAGTAAATGTTTGATTCAGATTGAGACAAAACTGTACTTAATGACTAACAATACTGCCTAAGACAAAGGTGTTTTTAAGAGGAGGGAGAGGGAGGCATAGAGATTTAGACAAGGAATCCAGATTTTGCTGGCTTCAATTCAGATATGTGGTATTAAATCGTATATGTACTTTGTGGACTTCTTCTAACATCTTTGCTGTCTCTTCTGTTTCGCTTTTCCTGTGGCTTCAGTGCAAAGTAGAAGAGGTGAGACAAACTTTGTTAGACTAAGGGTTGCTTCTTAAAATATATAATTTGCATTGGTTTCTTCATTGAACTTCCTATTTGGTGGTTGGTATGCTTCAAATAACTGCATATAGAATAAAAACTTCTCACATCAGCTTCAGTAATTTCAGATGTGAAAGGAAAGATCAGATTCAACACTGCTTACATTTTAAGGGAAGAAATTTCCAATCACAAACTTTACAGACTGCACCCTGAAAGACTACTTAGGTAATCCTTCACCAGTTAATTCCAATTATTTCATCATCTTATTTGTATAGATTAACTTTTGTGGTACCTTCAAGACGTTTTAGGGAAACACCAGCAGTATTAAGCTCCTGCCAACCTGTCTCCTCAGGTAGAACTGATTAACATAAGATTTGCTTAGATTATTTCTACCCCACTTCTCCAGAATATGCTTGAGGGTAACTAACAAGAAAAAGCTAGCAGTCCAAAAAATGCATATTTGAACAGTACAAAATAGAATACTATTACCCAATTTTAAATCAGCATAAAACAAGTGTTAAAAGCATAAAAGTCTCGGCAGGCTAAAGAAGGCCAAATCAAAGCACAGTAATGGCATAAAGCTTAAAGAAGATCTGCCTAAAATTGATAGGGTTATAAAAAGCTGTAAAGGGGGCAGGAATGTGAAAGAAGCTTATCCCATTGTGCCCAAGTTCGATCATTTGGTGGTGCTACCTGAGGACCACTGGCAGCTTCATTTATTTGCTTCATTTATGGTCCTTACTTGCTTAGACTGAAGGCAAATAATTTAAAATCAATGTAATAAAAATAGTATAATACGTGTGATCAATAACCAGTTTATAAAATTAGAGAGTACATAAGTGACAGTAATATAACAGTGCAATAAAACCAGACTGCAAAATGTAAGAACAGTGCAATAAAACAGTATATGTAGAATAAATGATGTAATCAAACTGGATTTTAAGATGTGCTATACTAAAAAAATGCATGTGCATAAGTTTTCTGTACCTGAGACAGGCAGCACAGTAGCTAGCTGATAACCATAGTACTTTAATCTGTGCTCTTCAGCTCAAATTGTATATTTCTTTGTTTTAAATATGTTCTCTTTAATGCATGTCCTGTACAAAGTTAAGCTGTTAAAATTCTAATAAAATGAATTGGATTTAAGTAGCCTAACTTTGGCAGGATTGCTAGATTTGAGTCCTGTTGAGAAGATCAAATCAGTCAATCCTAAAAGAAATCAACCCTGACTGTTCCCTGGAAGGCCAAATAATGAAACTGAAGCTCAAATACTTTGGCCACCAAATGAGAAGGGAGCGCTCACTGGAGAAGACCCTGATGCTGGGAAAGATTGAAGGGCAAAGGATGAGATGGTTAGACAGTGTCATAGGTGCAACGAACATGAAGTTGAGCAAACTGCAGAGGACGGCGGAAGACCGGAAGGCCTGGCGTGATCTGGTCCATGGGGTCGCGAAGAGTCGGACTCAACAGTTCGACTGAACAACAACAAAAAGCACCTTAGAGACCAACATGGTTTTTTGCCATATGAGCTTTCAAGAGTCAAACCTCCCTTCGTCCAGTATCTGATTGCTTTGACTCTCAAAAACTCATACCCCCAAAAATCTTACTGGTCTTGAAGGTGCTACTGGACTCAAGTCTAGGTTTTCGACTGCAAACCAACACTGCTACCCTATGAAATTATGTCAAGATTGCAGCTTTATTTAAGTAATAGAAAATGTAGAAGATAATCATTTTTAAAAGATCAGTACCAAATGCTTTGGCTTGTAATTATGCTTTGGAATGGTGTTCCAGTTCCAAATACTTGGCATCCTTACTACAATGCTCTTCATTTCACAAGCTCAAGTTGCTACTAATTTTAGCCTATGATCTCCCATTTCTAAACTCTACAGCCATGAGCCAGAGGGATGTAATGTTATTTTCGCCAATAACTTTTCTGCAAGACTAGTCTGTTCTTTATTTATTTGTATGTTGAAAATAAAACCTTGAGTGAATCACAGGGATGCCAGCATAGTGCTATCTGCATGTTGTTGTTGACCGAAGTAGACTGATGTTCACATTCTATATCAAAATATCACACTAGTTTAAAATCAATTAAGGGCTATGTAGATTTGCTGCAACTTCTCATACCTTCTTTCCTAAGGTAAACATTACATCATAATTTTTAATTGTCAGAAACTAGGTGGATGCTGGACAATGTTCTGAATGCATCCTATAAGGTTTTGATGATTTTCTTGAGCCACTTTTGTTTCATGTGTTAAAGCAAAGCAAAGGGTTTCCCTTTGATGCATAACAGCAGTTTGACTAGAAAATCATAGAGTTCCTGGAAGCTTTTAAAATGCCTTTAGGTGCCTGCTTGAATTTAGTATGCCTTAGCAACAAGTCAGTAATTGTATTGTGCTTGTGCTGGTAAAACTTCTGATTTTGATTGGCTGAGCTGGAGTGGTGTCATAGATTGATTTTATAATGGAAAGTAGTCTGGGGTTAAAATTTTGGATAAGACAAGAGCTAGGAAGAGTCCCGGGACATGGGAAGTTGAGGGGTGGAGGTCAGGAGGAGGAACACCTGGAGGAAATGTGGGTGGCAGATGAAAGGTAAAAGACAAGAGGTAGAGAACGAAGGGGTATTCTGAACACATAGCATAAAGTCAGGAAAAGCTACAAGGTATGAGGAGTGGAAGAGGAGAGTTGCAGTTGCTGGTTGGGAGACAGAGCAGCTCAATGAGATGGGACAAAGTAGTGACCTGAAGAGCAGCAGCCTAAGGAAACAATGAATATGAGAATGCGGCAAAACTGTCCTTAAGGCATAGAGACAGGAGGGGCTGTGCCAGGTGGAAGTTCAATAGCTATTAAACTTCAGGTTTTTAATTAAAATATGTTTAGGTTTATATGTCATAGGGGAAAGTGGGACATAGTAGGCAGATAAGGGTTTTTTGGAAGTTTGGAGATTGTGGGCCAGAAGATGAGGGCCATAGAGGGGTCAGCACCCTTTCCGAAGTATTGGGCCAGATCTTCCCTAAATTTAAGACTTGGCTCTGCCTCCTGTCCCATTCCCTGTATAGCTCCTGGGACAGTGAGAGGGAAACAGCTGTCCCCATAGAGTCTCTTCCTGCAGCCCATTCATCACAGAGCAGCTGAAGGAGGGGCTTTAGGAGAGGACTGAGTGCTGCACAGAGTCATCTCATGTGCCACAGGTTGCTAGCACTGGTCTAATATCAGTTACGCTTCTGCTATACAGCCTTGTCATTTTGAGACCTGTAGAGAAGCAGCAGGGGCCAAAGAAGTAGTTGCAGGCATTCAGTTCTACACACTGATGTGAACTTGCTCACCCATTGTCTGTTAACTCCTAGTATTACACGTGGTATCTTAAAAATTAACATATATATAGTAGCTTTTGTATATTTGTGTCTCTGAGATGCTATGGGACTCCCGTGCATTTGCTGCAAACGATTAAAATGACTGCATCTTTAGAATTAATTTGGCATTACATGCCATTAAAGGTGATTGGATTGGAATACTTGGCATTATTCTTTTTACTTAGTGCAAACTATAGTTCAATAGATATTAAACTTCAGATTTTTAATTAAAATATTTTTAGGTTTACATGTCATAGGGGAAAGTGGGACATAGTACTTCATCCTTAGAATTGTTATGAAAGGTAGTACCTGGTTGAGCAAAAACATCTTGGCCAGCATCCATTTTTCTTGACTGAACTAATATTGAATGTTCTGGTCTCCCATTGTCTTAGGAATACATGGATAATAAGCTACTAGTTGCATGTACATAACTAACAAAGCACATATGATTTCATATTTGCCTCTTGCATGATAGCTCTGAGTAAATAAAATATAATTCTTTCCCCTCCCCCAAGGATTTTAGTAACTTACGTATTTCTCTTCTCTTCCAGACAAAGCTTCACCAAGGCGGTTGCCCCGCAAAAGGGCACAAAAGAGATCAGTAGGGTCTGATGAATAATTCTTGTTGGTACAGTGAGCCTTTACTAACCCAGCCATCCAACCCCCTCCCTCTTGTGTTTGCTTGAATTGGGAGTTGTGCTGAAAAGCCATATCAACTGAAGAGAATACTATGAAACATTTGGACTCTGCATTTGAGTTGTGTTCAGAGAACATTGCTAAAAATGCACTTCTCGTTCCTTTTAAGAAACTTTTAATTAAGAATCATCGTGCTATCTGAAATGTGCCTTTAGAGTCTTTTCATAATGCTGATCTGTCATCTGCACGCCTTTGTTTCTGATGTTTTTGTCAGAAATGCAAATGTTTCCTATCCTATTCTGATTGTATCCTATTGTAGAAAAAAGTCTTCATGCATTTTCCTATCTCTCCAAAGTCATTGAGCTAATTCTTTGCTACATGTATGCAGCTACTTTTTGGTTTGCATGCTGCATCTTGTCATGAAGCACTGAACTGCATTTTGTGTAGCTAGTATTCTAAAGGCACAAGCAGGGGTAACTGCTTCAAGCAGTCTGTTTTTTAATTAAATTGCTGCTGCTCGACAAAGCGCACACTGAATGAGATCCCCGATATTCTTGCATATGTGTCAAAAAGGGATTTCTGTAGCAGCAGACCTTAAAGTACAGAATGTGTGCTCACTTTGGCGTTTAACATCCCTTTTTATTGCAATATAACTGTACATGTGTATAAATTGTTAGTAATTTGACTTTAGTCAACAGATCTGGTGACAGTAGCCAGGTGAATTACTTTGGAATGCTAAGTCTAATGGTTACAAATTGAGCCTCGTCAGTATGACTGTAGGGAGTTTCCCATCACTTGGAAAACCAAATCATGGATAGAAAAATGCATCAATTCTTAGATAAAGCTGGATACAAGGTATGCTGGATACAAGATTTGACTTTCATGAAGGTGTCTTGGGGCAACAGCTTACAAGGTGTATAACGGAAGTCTGCTCTTATGTTCCCATGTTTGATTGTATAAAAAAGAATAAGTTCTAAAATGACAGTAAAAAACATAAAGTAACATTTTATTTTTGAGTTGTGTGGCTCCTCTTTTTTCAATGGTCTAGTTGAGTGAAATGCAGAGCTAGATTTCAGCTACAAAAATGTGTTTAAAGGAGATCCTGGCTAGAAGCTTGGTTCCATTATTACCACAAGGCTTGATGATAAAAATTGGCAAGTGTGTTAAACTTTAAATTCTATAGAACTTTTTCATAATTGAAAACGGTATGATATCTGCTCAGACTAACATGGATTATTCTGATGTGTGTATATATACATATATATGGTATTAACTTTAATGCTGTATTTGGAAGTGTAAGGGAAGAATTCAAACAAAAGTATAAAACACTAATTTGAAATGTGGAACTCGGCTTTTGCTTTTTGCTTGCCTCCCAGTATTGTTTGTTCTGCTTAAATGAATGGATTTATGAGTCAAAGGGCTAGATCAGAGGTCTCAAACTCATTTGTTACGAGGGCTGGATCTGACATAAATGTCACTTTGTCGGGCTGGGCCGTGTGTGCCATAAAATGTGATCCCAGATACAAACTGTATAAAGAACAGCAGCTGGTAAGCTCTGAGTTGGTGTATCCTCACTGCATGGCCCTGTGGGCTGGGAGGGGATTGCAGTGGAAAACCCACATAGGCAGACTGGAGAGGCAAGCTGGGCAGATGCTCCCACAATGTTTGACTACTATAGATGAGGATATTCTGCCATGCTGAAGCCACAATCAGAGTGCCTCCGCCCACTCCCCCAGCACTCCATCCCTTGCATCAGTTGCTCGCGGGCTGCATAAGAGCCCTGGGTGGGCTGGTTCCGGCCCCCAGGCCTTACGGTTGACACCCCAGGGCTAGATCCTACAGTCCATTTCTGCCAACAGAATTGTTTCTTTCTGAGTCTGGGTTGAAGAATATTTGTGCAGGTCATATCCTGAGTCTGGGTTGAAGAATATTTGTGCACCACCTGCAGTGGTGAAAATTGATGGTAGATCAGCATTATGCTTGAGAGGGTCACTGACAATATTAATAGATTCAGGAGGCTAGACAGCACCCCACTGGCTTTTTTTCTGCCATTCAGTTACCCACCCCGCCCCATTGCACCAGGGTTCCCAGTGGGATTTGAAAAAGGATTTTGAGGGGATAGAATCTATAACTGATTATATACCCACCTAAGTCTGGATTGATAAATGAGGTAAGTGAGATGGTTGGTTTTTGAAGTAGGGTTGCCATTCCCCCGGTGGTGGTGGGGGATGCCCCACCCTCAGTCCCCACGGTGGGAGAAAAATAAAATGAATGGCCACTGAGCTTATGATGTGACGTCACTTCACAGGGTGGTGATTCAGAATTTGCTTTTAGAGTGTGGACAAAGTCTGAACTTGTATATGGTATGGTTTAGCTAAGCATCTCATTTAGCTAAATAAGATGATGCTTCCGTACAAACTATGTGGTATAGGAGCAGGTTATTAACATACCTGCGTCTTTATGTGCTCGGTATCACTGTGATACTGGCCTGTTTGTGTAACTTTCCAGAAAGCCTTTGGTGTAGAAGTGGAATGCTGTTGTAGCAGGCAAGTTGTATATGCCCTTAGGTCCCAATAAGCCAAAGCCTAAATTCAATTTTGGCTAGCTTTTATAACATTTTATAACTGAAAGTATTATCTAATATAATTGCTTGGGAATCCAAACCATTGCTGCATGACTAAGTGCTCCTGTAAAATATGTAACTTTTGAGGAAGAGGAGCAGTAATCACAATTCACCGTATTTTACTGCTTTAGAAATCTGAACTTGTGGGTCAGAGTTCCAAGAGTAAAAGTAGATTGTGAAATTCTAGGCCATGTGACAGACTACAGCCTTTCTTGCTGCTGCTCAAGACTAGCTAGAGTGTAGAATAATTTTTCTAGAAGTGTCTGGGGAAGCTTGTTGCCATTGGGGCAAAACTTTTCCTACCTGCTCTCTGGCCTCTTCCTAAACTTTGTCTTTTGCAAGGCAGACATTAGTTAATACAGCACTGAGCTGACTCATACCAGTCATGTATCTAATCCAGCATCTTGTTTCACGTAGTCACCAACCTGATATTCCTGTCAAGGAAGCAAGGCCAAATCCTTAGAGCCCTTCACAATTCACTGAGGTTCTTGCCATTCTGAATAATTTGCTATCATCTTCAGGCTTGGTCACATCACCCCCACCCCTATAAATAAAAGCTGAATGGTGGTGGCACTTCTCTAGAACATTCCACACGCTCCAAAATCAGTTCGCTCTCTGATCTGTCATTCAGAGGGTCTCTATCCACTGGCTGCTTTGCCTGAGTCCTACCTCCAACATTTTAAACATTTTGCTAATCCTCTCCCCCCCCCCATAAGGTAAAGGTTCCCTTGCTCGAAAGCCAGTCGAATCTGACTCTAGGGTTGCGGTGCTCATCTCGGTTTTAAAGCCGAAGAGCCAGCACTGTCCGAAGACGTTTCCGTGGTCATGGGGCCGGCATGACTAAACACCAAGGCGCACGGAACGCTGTTACCTTCCCACTAAAGTGGTACCTATTTATCTACTTGCAATTTCTTGCTTTCGAACTGCTAGGTTTGCAGGAGCT